GGCTGTGTTCCACTGTTATGCATTACATGAAACAAAATCCTTCATAACTACTTTTGGTAGCTTTTAACTGCAGTTTTCTTGAAACAGAAGTTTGTAAACCGATGGTGTTCAGCCCTTGTATAAACACTGACGGGGCTATCAAAACTTCTGCAGGCTAAGACTGAACACCGACAACAACAAACTCCAAATAAGCTTTAAACTGGGTGAAGACCATTGGTCCAAGGCCAGCAAAAACAGTCCTATTTAAAGTATAAAAGGTTATTAAACATAATATAACCTTAAAATGATCTGAGCCATACAGGGGTTTTAGGAAATCATCAGTGGTGAAGCTATTGAAACGTTTTGATCATGTAGCTCTGCTTGCAAACAAACTTTGGTAATGTTCTTCAGTTGCTATCAGCTGACTACACCCCTGAACATTGGACGCTGCAACAATGCCTTAACATAAATGACTTATTCCATTTTGCCTAACTGGTCGAACTTAGGCTGAAGCACCTGAGTCTGACTGCTAATGTGCTTATGTCACACATTAATCTATCAAACTACAGTGCTCACACTGAACTAATGCTGAGAGACAGACTCTGTATACAAAACAGGAACTATATTTTCTTGCTGTAAAATGGATCTATATTTCTTGACTTATTTTAATGCAGGCCTAAAATGTGCACTGTAGTTGTATAATGAAGAATTCTTTTATGTTTTCTTCTACATGTGTGCATGTAAGGACACGAATTAATAGTTGAATAAAGTTAAATTTAAGATGGTATAATATTATAAAATTACTTGAAATGTTGAATATTATAAAAATATGTCCAGAAAAGAAAATCCCTTATTATTCACCTATAACTACACAGGCGCTTCCACCCTGCCTCTCCCTCTGAAAACGGGTCACTACCTTTTTGTATTTGCCATATTCACAGAACTTATTTCCTTATTAGCGTTGTCTTCAGCAGCTCTGGACATATTAGTACTAACCTTTCGTCCATATTAGCAGTTAAACTTAGTAACACTTGCTGAAGCGGTCGCCGATTTAAAAACACTGACCGGCACGGCGCCGCGCAATCTACGGTACCGAGCAGAAGACTTCGCCTTTTCCCTAAAGACCCCTGGGCTGTCTGTCTTCAGCTGCAGATCACATGGGAATGATTGTGTTAACTTTCTGAATCCTGTTACCTTCAAGGAAAATCGCGAGAGCAGGTGTCGGCAAATAAAAGGCCTTTTTAAGACGCCTTGAGGTCCGCTGTTGTCGAGTTTATCTTGTCGTTAGTAGAGAATATCAGCTGACCTCATAAAATTACACAAATCATTTACTCAATTACATGTAAAAGCACTGCACTCAAAGATTATCTTAAGTAAAAGTATGGACGTATTATCAGCTAGATTTAACGTGTCTATAACGTATTGTAGTATTGTTACATGTCTGGTTGGGATCATAGACTATATGGTTGAGTTAAAGCCAATTTTAAATACTTCGTGGGTTGTTAAATCAATAACACAGAATCATATTCCTCCTGCTGATCACGTTTTGTTTGAAATTACAAAGTACAATTTTTGCCTCTGAAGAGAAGAATAGAGGTAATATGAAGCATACAATGAAAATACTCAGGTAAAGTTCCAATGTATACCACATAATGGTCTATCAAAAGTGCACAGTTCACTGCTTTGGTTAGACTTGGGATTTTGGGATGTCACGTTTTATTGTGCATTGCATTTGAGTAAAATGTTATTTTGTAATATCAAAATGTCAAAGACGAGCTGTAAGAAAATGCAAACCTGAAACCGTTTTGTGAAGGGTGTTGTTTTATTTTATTATTTTATTCTTTATTTATTTATTGTTTGTGATATTTTTGGAGACAAAATTAAAATACTGTGTAATAACTAGCATGGTGTTTGTGCACTTACTTTGATACCAGTACCGATGCAGCATCTCTGGGAGTATCACTGACAAGTAAATATGACTGGAAAGTGAAAAAAATGTGTTATTAGCACCTTATGACAACATGACTGTAAAACACATCCACTCCATTAAAGATCTACAAATCCTGTTGTCAGGCCGAGGCATTATGAGGAATAAGACCTCGACGTACAGACCAATATCTTTACTACCAAAACATAAACAAGATTACATTGTATACTTAACGTGCCTTTGCAATAGCTAGAATGCGGTCCATGGTGGGCTCTCTGGCCTTGCCACCGTCCGACTCCAGGTGGCCATCCAGACGATAAAGGTCAAAAGGTATGAGGCAGGTCATGGACAGCCACAATAACAGCATATAACGAGTTTCCCAAGTCTGAAATGAGTGGACGGTTAAACACAATATTGTTAAATGTTTGTTAAATCTTACAACAAAAGACAATACAAAGACAATATGTCAACCCATAGGAGGTCAATGCACAGTATTTGTGAAGGCCTGGATTATTATTTGAATAATAAAAGTCCTGCCACTCTCACCTCAGAATCTTTGGGATCTTGCCTCGACAGCAGGTCAAGAACTGGCTGGACATCTGCCACCTCATGGGGTAAAAGCTGCATGAAGATTTTATAGCCTCTGACCTGTCCAGGAAAAAATAAATACAAATAAACAACCCGAGGACAAGCTCACAAATCAGCATAGCTGTGTCAGTGAAATGAGTGTTGCAGGTGTAAATGGAAAGTCAGTGAAAAGCTACCAGACAGCACACAGCTAACGTGAACCTGAGTACTGTTTTGAACTCACCTTACAGACGATGTAGAGAAACTTGAAGCTCAAATGAACCAATGAAGGTGGAGACTTCTCACTCCTTACAAACTCCAGTATCATGTTCAACATCCATTCTGAGACAAAATTGAACATTTGAAGAGTTTCATTATATATAGATATATATAGATATATATCTATATATACACACATTCTCTAAATGAATTTACAGAGCCAACATAAAGGGAATTTAGTTATCATAATGTACCTGTGTGTGGGTCCAGCAGATGAGGCTGTTCTTGATATCTGTTCATTATCACTGCGGGGGGGGGGAAAAAGAGTGTGATGAACTGAACTAAAGCCCAGATTAAAATGGTTTATAATGCTTTGTGTACTGTGCATCTCACCCAGGAACCTCTCTGTGGTGGACTCGCTTGTCAGCGGGTCTCCGTGGACCTCCGGCAGGCTGCAGATGAGAGCTCTGGTCTCGACAGTCTCACTGAAGCCCCCCAACACACAGGCTTTTACAATAAGGTCCGACTCTCCTCCCTCACCACCGGGGCACCCATTCTCTGTCTCCGACGAGGCCATGCTGCCGGACTTTTACCCACAAATAAAGCCTTTGTTGCGGAGGATAACGTGAGCTGGTTGGTTGTTACTGGTTATGAGTTAGCGAGCTAATATTAGCATTCATGACTAGCAGAATAAACGTCTCTGAGTGAAAAAACCAGCCCGGGAAACGACGGGATGTATTAAAAAGTTACAGCTACGACCATGACTCAGTCTACAGAGTATTAACGTGAACAATTACTGTACGGAAGCTGAAAGTAATGTCACTAGACAAAACCGTGGCACTAGTCCTCATAAAGTCTCTGTTATGATGCTCCTGCACAAGTGCGTAGAAGTGTTCGCGCCCCCGCCCCGGTACGGTAAGCGAAAAGGTTCAAACGTGTCACATGACAGCTCCAGAGCTGAGTGTAACCCATTCTGATGGTGAGTTTGTTAAATATTAAATGTTTATTTATCTTATTAGTATATATATGATTGTATAAGTGATTACTATGCATAGGAGAGCTTGAATTACTCGATTCATATCAAGTTCAAGCAACGTTCATGTAAGATTGTGATTATAAACCTGAAGAAAAAAAATAGATGACATAAAGCATAAAGACACAAACAACCTAAGTGCATCGAAACATGAAAGCAATAAAGAGTATGTTCTAATAAACTGCAAATAGCTGTTTCATAGAAAGAAAGAAAAATATACGTATTTATAATAATACACACATGAGGATTGTAGCAATCAAAATTAATGACTAGGTTTATGTGTATGTTTATGTTACTAAGTTGCATGTGAGTGCTGGGGGGCAAGGTGTACAGCAGCCTGGGAAAAGAAGCTTTTCATATGTTTTCATACCAGATAAATAACAAATACACCAGTTCAGGAGAAACACTTTGGATCATCACAGCGTTTATTGTTGGTTAAGCAGTGGACACAAAATATCCAAATGAATGGATTCATTGTTATACTGCAACACTTTGTAGGTGTATGTAGTGTGTCAGTCTGTATGACATTAACAGTCAGGCTACTATGATGTAGATAAAGTAAATAAAGTACACAATATTGCACTCACGGGGAAAATCCGTTGTCCTTTGCACAGTAAGGACCAAAAATGACACAAAATTAAGGAAGAGTTTGCAGCATACCAAAGAAACTCAGCTTCTTTGATATGGTTTATGTTTGGTTATAGGCCACCTATACACGTCATTGTAGAAAATAAAGAATTAATAAATATTAATAGAGCTTATATGTTATGTTTAGCGTCTAGACACACTGTTCCCGGACAAGTTAGCATCTGTCAATATATACATAATACTTGCCATGAGTTTAAGACTGTGAAGCTTTCTGAAAGTGAGTGCGAGTGCAGTTATTTTAGTAGATTCTTCATAACGCTTATCGAAGAGCCCCTGTAGCCACCACCAAAGTGGTTCCAATGATTCAAATAGTGGAAGAGTTGGTAAAGCTGGTTTCTCTTTGCAAATCCAGGTGCTTTAGGAATCTTTTCATGGTAGGCAGAGTAAAAAGAGCTGTTGAAGCCACCAAACATCCCTGCAATACCCAGCTCATACTCTGAATGGCCATAGAAGGAAGCTGGGTCAAAGATGACCGGGCCGTCTGCACACTGTGCCACATTGCCTCCCCACAAGTCTCCGTGGAGGAGGGCAGGGACAATCTCCACATCGGTGAAAAACTGAGGGATCTTCAGCTGTGAAAGATCACAATATGCAAGTAGCACTGTCAGATTATAGATACAATCATACAGACGTGTGTCGTGTTTTGTTTCTGATTAGGTCAAAGGGAGGGTGCACCTGCAGCTCGGCCCATAGTTCTCTGGCATCCCTGTCTCCGTAAGATTTCTCCACCATGTTAAGCTGGTGCTGCAGCCTCTGCTGTGAGTAAAATGTCACCCAGTCATCCTGCCACTCATTTTCCTGGTGAGGCAAAGAAAGAAAATGAAAACTACATGATACATGATATTGCGAAGGAAAACTGTAACATCTCAAAGATTAAAAGTGCTACAAATTTACTACATTTTAGAGACTGACACTACAGTCCTGTTTTGCCTCGTATACAGATACTATATATATATTTTACCTGTGGTAGATATCCACAGCATGTGGTTACACTGAAGCCAAATTTTTCAACAACAGCCACCTCTGACTGCCCCGCTCCTTTCCCTGTGTACAGTCAAATAAGTTATATAGTAAGTCTTAATTAATTAGCAGTTCATTCTTACTTAATTTTTTAGAGTAAGCTGCTATTCAGTATATGGTGTATTTTTGTGCATTTGTCTACATTTGCATGTATTAAAGAGATGTTATTACCCACTGTCTGCTGCTCTTTATTCAGTTTTTCCAACTGTCTCTGGTTGTGAAGATGCAGATCTGCCAGCTGCTCTCCAAGATGCTTTGAGTACCTACACATTGGATTTGGAAATAAAGTATTTTATTTAAAAGAACAACTATATTTTCACATTTCCCTCTTTTCTGGTACTGACACTGACAAATTGTATGAGACAGCTCTTACTTGCTAAGGCCTCTCATGTCCAGATGTTCCATCACAAATACACATCCTCCCGTGTCGAGCTCAATCACCTTCACAGGCTTGGGGACTTTAACAGTCTCTGTCTTTAAAATGGCTTCCAAACTGGCTATCTCCCCATCAAACATCAATTTGGCCTGAACAAAACAAAACAAAACAGGTATTGCAATAGCACAGATCTACACTAGTTTCCATATAAAAATACATTGTTCTGCATTTCGCAATGTATGCGGAAAGTTCAGTGCAATGGAAATGGCTTTCAGATGGGAAGTTCTAGGTATTTACACATAATATAGTACATTTATATAATATAATTTGAAAACACATTATAAAATACCTCTCTCTTGTGATTTATCTTCACAAACACTCTCCCAGTGTCAGTATCATAACTCTGACCCTCGCTGATACATCCTCCTCCAGAGTGACCAGTTGACTTCAACACGGCTGTCCCCAACTCTTTCTTTAACTTAGCCTCCATTGCTATTCCCACCAAACCAGTTAGGGCGGAATTACAGTGGCGTTAATGCCATAGACTGACTAACACCAAAAACGCAGTAAAGAATTTTGACAGCTTCCGCCGCGTCAACCAACGAGGACTCTCGCTCGGCGACGAACTTGTTTTTCTTCCGTTGTATTCATACGCGAGGTAACCAACCAATCAGAAACAAGACGGAAATGATTGAATTCCGCTTCGTCCTATCAGAGCGACGTAAAACGGTCACATGAGCGTCGCCATGGTGCCAAACGACTCTTCATTAGCTACTACATGCTACCACTGGCTACGATATGCTTCTGTTGGAAGACAGAAATGAGCAGCAATGCAACTTGTCTGCTTCTCGGAGCGACTGGTGTGGGGAAAACGTTACTAATGAAACGTCTGCAAAATATCCTTTGTGTGTTTTGCACTAGAGTCGGATAAAAATGTGCCGTAAACTGAAAGTTGCGTAGCTTAACTAGCCCGCTAATGTAGCCTGATGGTAGCTAGGTAACTTAACGTTAAGTAGTCCGTAAATATAAACAACTAAAGAGTCTTATATATAGGCTTTGTCCACCAATATAGGTCTATACCCTCACGTGAGGTAAATACGTGACATGGTATTTAAAAAAATAAAGGAGACTAAAATGTTATTTCACATTGTGTTTTCAATTACATAGCGTTAGACACAATACTTTCACGACTGACCAAATACTGTATAAACATTTTAAATGATCTATTTTTTGCCTCTGAAGCTACTCAACACGATACACATCAGAGCACTGTTTTCTGAGGATATTTTCCCTAACAGATTTTGTTTACAGCTCAGTTTTCATGGACCAGGTGAACTGGGGGGACCTCCTTCTACTCTTCCTACAGTAAGTAGTCAGTCATGAAAGGTAGGTTGACCTTACCTAGAATTACATCCCTGTAATGCCTCCAATCTCTTTAAACCTCCACAGGTAGGAACCAACCTCACAGACCTGACACTGAAGAGGAAGAAGCTGACATTAAGAGAGCTGGGAGGCTGCATGGGCCCTATATGGCCGAGTTACTTCAAAGACTGCTCCTCGGTCATTGTGCGTTCTTTGTATACATACTATCTGCAACATTTAACAGAGGTGAATACATTCACTATTTGATTGAGTGTTTCTTTGTCTCGTTTCATAGTTCATGGTGGACTCAACCAACACTGCTCAGGTATCCTCGTCCTGTATCCAGCTGCTGTCAGTGCTCTCTGCTGAACCTCTGCGTGGTGTCTCGGTGCTGATTCTCTTCAACAAGAGGTGACACAAGCACGCATATCAATACCTTACGTACCTGCAAGATGTCATTGTCAGCAGGTTTCAACACAATATCTATCTTAATATTTTATAATATATATTATTATTAAGTCTGTCTCATCTTATTTTAGCTTTTCTTTCCGCCCTCTTCCAGGGACATGCCTTGCACTATGAGTCTTACAGAGATGAAGTCACTGTTCAGAATGGATGACATCATTGCGTCGGCTACTCAGCCAATCACGACACTGGAAGTCAGTGCCCACTCTGGACAGGGACTTCAGGAGGTGCTGAGCTGGCTGGAGTCCATCGCAATCAAGTGAACTATAATACGTGTGTTCCTTATAAGGTGATGCTCCTCTCACAGAAGTTTAAATAATGACTTCAAGCCTTTTGGCATGAGATGTCAGTATTTCCAGCAGAGACTGTTCAGAGGATTTAAGGGGTCGCCCTGGTAGAGCGTCTAACACGTATCAAGGAGGAGACCTTACCACAGCGGTTCCATTGCAGCCCAGGCCCTTTGCTGCTTCTCATCCCTTCTCTCTCTCTCCTATCTTTACTCTCTGTCTACAGCTGTCCATACATAAGTATTACATGCCAAGAATAAACACAAAAAAAGTGGCAAGACATGAAAAGTAGGTCTAGTTTGTAACATTTAGGAGGATCTGTTGGAATATAATATTCATAGGTTTGTTTTCGTTGGTGTATAATCACCTGAAAATAAGAATTGTTGTGAGTTTGTTATCTGAGAATGATGATTTTTATCTTCAAAGGGAGCAAGTCCTTTTCAGCTGAGTCCGCCATGTTACTACAGTAGCCTTTTCAGTTTTTGGCAAGTGTACTTTCTCCTACACGCTTTGAAGGCGAGCGATATTCAGTTGGTTACAATACTACTGCTGCTATATAGCACTAAATCCTACAGACTGGACCTTTATGTATGTCTCTTTGGTACCGTACAAATGGTGAGTGTGAATGGGGAAGGAGATGTATTAGTGATATCATGGCAGGATGATTGTATGGTTGTTTAACAGTTATTTGTACTGGTCACCGTTACTAATTAAATTCAAAACAGAGTGTGATCATAAGAAATGTCGCTGAGGGAAACCTGCTACTGTTAAACAAAGACTATTTTTATTTTGCAATAAAACAGGTTTCTGCACTTCACTTTTATTAACTAGGTCACTGTGAGAAACATGTTAGAAGAGCTAAACTGAATAATGTAAGTGACGCAGCATATTAGTAATGAGTCATTACCAGCAGGGGGCATAAAGTGCACAACAAATACTGTGACTGGTACTGGGTGTGTGTCGGATTTGGGATGATTTCATAATAAATGTATTTATCAGAGGAAATGAGAACATAGAAAACAGAAGAATGAAGCAGTGTTCTAATTATACCCTTATATTTGATGAGAGTCAGTGGTTCACAAGCAATGAATAAAACTCATATTTGTATACATTTTCTAATGTTGCCTTGCTTATAGTAAATTCAGAAGCGCTTACAGTCCTCCCAAATTATGATTTCATTCAGTTAACCCCGGCGATTCATTTCATAATAGTAAAATCATGTATACACTGATGTTTATCATCAGGTCTGGTCCAACAGAAGCCCCACAAAGTTAACCATGATGATGCAGAAACATTTCAAGAACTGGACAGGTCTCCAACTCTTGGTTCGTATCAGAAATCATCTTTTTTCCCGAGCAGGAGTATATGACAGCAGCAGTGGCCGGTAAAGCCAATCACACAAACAGCTGAGTGAGCAGGAGACTTGTTGAAAGCTGTAATACATTTACCTGGTAATTATAGCGAAGAGAAGTGACAAAATATTATCAAACTGTGCTTTTGTGTACATTTGTCTCTTAAGTCAATTTGCAACAAGCTTTGGCCTTAAAGAAGTTTTACGTGACACTAACAGCTTCTGATACAAAGGTGTTATTTCTTTCATAACCTGTTACTGCAGTCATGACAAGAGAGCAGGAGAGAGTGTCGCAGTGAGGAGCAGAACCAGCTTGCATCAATCTAAGGGTTACTGTATTATACCACAATATAAAAACAACTAAGAATAGGGCTTTCATACAGGTCCTTGGGGCTGCAGTTTGGTCTGCGGTTAGAGTTATATTTCAAGAGCATAACCTAATGGCATTCCCCCTTTTTTTTTCTACGATATTTTCTCCAGTTTTGTAGGTCCTCATAAGAAAGGGTTCAGTGCAGCCTGTGATCCGTCAGTGCTGGAGAACGGCAACAGGGGCTCGGGGAGGTTCCCTGGCAGGTTCAGGCCAGGCTGGGTGGGGTGAGTAAGTGACGAAGGGAGGCTGGCAGGCTGGTGGCTCATAGGCAGGGGCAAGGAGGCACTGTATGGAAGAGAAGTGGGGGGAGGAGCCGCAGAGGTGGAGCCCAGTTGATTCAGAGTTAGTTTGGGCGCCTCATTTTGGAAAGGATTGGTGGCTGAAGGAGCACTCAGGCCTAAAGAGAAAGAAACAAAAGAAAAACAACTATTAGGTTTGCTTTAACAAAGTTATTTTTATTAAGTGTATCATTTCACATGATATGTCATTGTGAACATTTAACCTTGAGTTTTTTCTCAGTGAATCTTGGATTGCACTCCAGTTGCAAGTAGTCACTGTTCTAAAAACTCTTCCCTACTGGTGCTTTCAAGAATGCGGAAACATCTGAGATTTTACTCCATACAGAAATACAGTAAAATAATACAAGCTAGGAATTAATCTATACAATATACTTATTGTATGCTCCAGTAGATGGTTGACACCTAACTGATTTAAATCTGGAGTTACAGCTATCAAAGCACACACTTTCCTGGTCTTTCCCAGTGGAAAACAAAGTGCAGTCGCATAAACAACCAATAATACAATAAATACCTGATAGAAATGGGTTCATGGTCTTGGCCTGAGGGTTTACTGGGATCAGGGTGTCCAGGTTTACCAAAGAAGCCGCTGTGGGGCCCAAAAAGGCCTCAGGTGTCCGGCATGTACGAGGGCTAGGGGCAGCCAGGCTTTCTCCAAGACGTGACAGGTCAAATAGCTCAGGACTGCCCTCCTCTCGCCCGTTTACATTCACCTGACCTCCATCCATGGCCTCATCAAACAAATCCCCATCTAACAGTGAAAAAAGAGCGAGTTCTTACACAAGTGTGTGTGATATAAAGAACCACAGTGTGAAAAAAAAAAAAGTAATGTTTACCTGACGGGCTTCCAGCTCGAGGGGGAGGTCCTTTGAGGGCTGCTTCTACTGATGGTACTGAGAATGGGTCAACTCCTGAGGAGGCTATAAATACACCAAAATGCAGCTTTACTAAATTATTTTGAAATATTTATCATTGGCTAGGCTAAGCTAAGCACACACTGACTCACCTGTGTTGGCAGGGAAAGCCCATTCTCTGCCTGTGGCGTTAGAGACATTGCTCTGTGGTCCATCCCAGGGGTCGACTGGGGGCTCCCACGGTGGAGGGGGGCTGCTGGAAGTCGGTGGTGCCATCCAGGGCGGATCTACTCTGGAGGTGTTGGTGCTGCCTTCTTTAATAAGACAGAGGTGATTTAGAGAGTGAGGCTTCTGTTCTGCGGCTGTAAGTTTATCATAGCATATGAGCAGAACATACTGTACTGACTTATTCTACAGTACATCCGTTTCATTGTTTCTGTCTTCAAAGAATAGATATTTTATGATTTTGAATTTGAATTGAATTTACTACATGTTGTGTTCAACTTGGTGCTTAAACACTCCTCTTTTTGTCATAGTAAGTTAACTCAAGGCTCACCCAGAGCGTCCCAGGGGTCTGTGCCTCCCAGGCGAGCAGCCGCCTGGTGTGGGGGATCATTCCATCTGTGGTCACTAGCAGGCTGATCTGAGGGCACTGCAAAAACATCTACCAGGTCCATGAAGGCGGTCTGACCACAAAAACAAGAAGAAATCTGTGTCAGTTCAGTATAGTGCTTCAGCACTCACTGATAGTTCTCCAGACTGAAATGTTTTTGTATTCAATGGTCTGATCAGACCTAATAATCCTTCCCATCAATATACTAAAGCATTCTAGTTGATTTTGGTCTACAAATGCATGTTCTCAAAGCACGAGGAAAAACAATGCAAACTACAGTGTATGGTTATTTTTCATCACCCCCCATTGAGATATTCCATACCCCAATATTTCATACCCCGCCTTTAGTCTCCATCTCACGTTTGCTCTCCTCCAGAGCTTTCTGGAGCATCGACTCGTCTCCTTGGCGACTGAGTTGCTCCTGTCAACAGATACAGACACATGGACGCCTTTTGGGCATGACAGCTTCCGGCACATTTCACAAACTGTCACATCATACTATATTTATGACTCAGCGGGCGAACACAAGCACAAAAGCCAGCTTGTTTTTTTTTTTTTCCAAGCTAACATATGACCCAGAGATAGATGTGTGCAATGGGCACAAACTAGAAAGTTCTCTGGTCAAAGAGAGGAGAGGGCAGAGCATCACTGTCAGCTCTAACAGAGCAGTTCTATTGTGCTACAGTATATTGAGAGAAAAAGACAAAGAGACAGAGAGAGACAGGAAGAGAGAGGTGGAGTAAAAAGGTTGCCAGAGACAATACAACAGAGTGACCCCAAAGGAAACCTACCTGCTGGTGCTCCTCTTTGCTCAGGCTCAGGGCTAACTGGAGCTGGCTTTCCTCATCCAAATCCAGTGTGGGAGGTGCACATTGGACTGGCTGTGAGGGTGTTGACCGGGAAGGTAACTGCAATCAGTATTTGGTTAACAAAAGTGGAAATAGTGCTCGGACACCTTCACAGTACATTGCATGCAATTCCCCAAACTCTCCCCTGACACCACACCAGGGGAGACACGGGTATCTCATACTACAGGACTAAGAGGAGAGGTTTGGTGGTTAGTGGAACAGGAGGATGAAACCTCTTATTAGTCACTGGAGAAAGTTACATGTCCCTTTTTAGGGGTGAGGAGAGTGAGTGCATGCAGTTGTTGTGCCCAGACTGGGCCATGAGGTTGGCTTCAGTGTACAGAGCAACAAGAGATGTGCTATAGGGGAAATGATGCAAAGAAAAGGTCATCCCTGGTCCCAGCATACTTGTACCTTCTGGGCCTCCTCCTTGCTGAGAGTCATTGCGATCTGGAGCTGGGTATGTTCATCAATATCCACTGTAGGAGGTGGCTAGGGTCAAGCAGGAATGATTAGGAATTTGGCTAATCAAAGGGAAAGATAAAAGCACACTTGATTTTGCTCAAGTGATTCTTTAATATACTGATTTGAGGTGATTTAGAAGAGTGGAGATCAACGTATGGATCTCAGTTTGATCATTTAATTCACAGCTGATTGGTTTGATTACATAAGTGGAAACTGCTATGCACTGTAATATATTCAGCAGCCACAGAGGGCAACGGCTGCCCTTGCCATGGAGACTCCGACGAGCTTAGGAGTGGATCAATGCGCACATCCTGTGTGGCTTCTCGACTCTTTCACTCACAGCTTCCTCACTCCTCAGTGAGAAAGCTCCTCTTTGACACTGATTGGTCAAAGTGCCATTATTGACCCCATCATAGACAGAGTTGATGATATCACTTTCTGTTAAGGGTTCTGGGAAATGGTGGCTAGTGGAGACAGGCAGTGGGAGTGTTTACCACCAGGACAGATAGCGTCCAAGCATGTGTGTGTGGGAGCCGTTAAATGTTTTACTTCGGCGTTACAACATAACATGTCAGCAGCAGGGTGGCTAAGAAGCCTCTTTCTGTCAGGCGCATGTGCTGTATGGATGAGAGGTTTGTGCTCAGTGTGTGTGTGTGTTATCTCAGTTAGAGGTACCTTTTCACTTTCTTCTCGGCTCATAGCCAAGGCCAGCTGCAGCTGCAGCTCCTCTTCTCCACTGGTCGTGGGCCGAGCTTGCTCCAGGTCTGGAGCAACTCGAGGAGAGGAAGAGGAGGCTACAGAGGAAGAGTAGAGGGGATTGGGTGTTTAGCAGGGGGATGTAGACAGGAACATTGACACATGGAAATAGAGGGGGAAGAAGATGGAAAACAAAAAAAGAAGCACTTTAGGCTGATTTTTAAGGTCAGAAAAGAGCTGGCACTGTTTATGCATGTAAATTTTTTTTCCATGGCCCGTTGTTTAGGGCCTTTGCTGGCATTGCTTGCCACGGTCTGCCTAACTCTGCCCGCACTGAGAACAATGGTGCGCCTGTGTGGAGAGTTACGGGTGGTGGAGGGGAAGAGGAATGGACGGGTTGGAGTGGGGCCCACCTTATTACCCCGAATCGTCTGGGTAGGTTCCAGGACTCAGGTCCAGGTTTGGGGGAAGGGATGGGAGGGGGTGGGGGGCGGACTGGCGGTATACCAGTCTGGGTGCCAGGCTGTAGGTCACGGGGCTAAAAGAGGGCAGCAGACCACACGTTGGCAAAGCCAGATCTCAGAAACCGATCATTTCCACTGAGCTGCTCCTCAATATCCCCCGCCTGAGCTGGAATGCTTACTGGCAATTAGCTGTTGCCAACCTCCTGACCCCCACCCGGGCCATCTATCAGCATTTTGTCCAAAACACTCTAACCATGTGCTAGTGTCCTGGAATCTCCAAGAGACTATCATCATCCTCCCTTTTGATCTAAAAATCACCCAGGGCAGAGTGACAAACTCTACTGTTATGCAGTCTTACAAAAAAAAAAGTAATTACTGCATTTACACAGGCCAACACACACATGCATGTACATCACAAACACTAACACACATTTCAAGTATCAGGTAAGTCTTTTTGGTTATCTAGGGTCTTTTTGAAAGCATCCTTTTCTGGACCGAGTGATTTGAGTTATTTGCGGAGTGGTTTTCCAACATGAAAGCCAGCCTCTGTCCGAAACTTAGCATTTTGTGGTGTTATTTTATGCATGTGTTTTTCCTGTGTGTTGCAAACCAGGCTCCTAGCATCATCACTGAACCACAGGCCCGGAGCTTGGAGGTGGTAACTGTTGTCTGCCACATGTTTCCATTGGCACACGTTCCATCCCAGAAAAATATGCAAGGAACGTATACCAAGCGGAAAATGTATTAGAAATAGGACTTTTTCAGAATTAGTGGCAGTAAAACAGTCAGATACCACCTGTGGGCTCGTCTACACTATAAAAACAGACCTCAGACATCAAAGTATAACAGAGTAACTGGTGCCTTCATAAGGCCACAGTTCTGCTACTGACTAACACTTACAATAAACACCATACACCACACAGACCACACAATGTCAAAGTATATGGTACACACAAGTCAAAAACAAAGGCCTCATACAGCTACTTGATTCTTTGAGCTGTTTACTGTAGCTGATAAGTCAATGACATCAGATGTCCTAACCCCTGCACACACACAGAGGGATCACTTGGGTCTAATACTATCTATCCACCAAACCAGAAGGGTAACAGGTCGTATCACCACAAGTAAACATGGTATCCACTTGTGGTTTCACATTAGATGGAGTCAAGCACAAACAGGGCCTCCTCTCTTTTGTAAATCCAGTTTCGCTGACGTGACTGTAAACAGGAGAATGAAAGGAATGCAGATGTCCAACAATCAGTACAGATCAAAACTGAAACACGTTCTATTAAAAACCCAGTGGACAAAAAGAACGAGCAGTTAATTAACACTTACCATGGCCTAAATGTTGTAATGCGCTGCTGGTATTAAAAAATCACAGGTGATTGATGTACGTATCTCAAAAACAAGGCATAAAGGAGAAATATATAACTCACAGCTGTCTCCATAAATTGCCTCTTTTGTTTTCTGACATCAAATGGAAAATCTTAGGTGATTGATAAACCGAGAACTTAAGGACTTCTGTTACTAAAAGAATTTATTTTGATCTGATAAACCAAATGAACTCATGACCTGTCATGTGGGCATTCCCGACAAATGACAGGTCACCTGACTTTACAAGTATTATTCAGATAACTGTATTCTTAAGGACTGAAGTAATGTTACACGTGGAGATGCTTGTGTCTCAAACAGGGGGTATAAGGTTATGTCACAGTGTAGATGTGAGTATACTCACAGTGAAAGGAGGACGGCGAGCTTCTGCACGTGCCAAACTCATCCCTGTGGACCCCAGCTGAGTTGGGCTGGCTAGTGCGACGACCTGGGTATGGAGGAGGAAGGGATCCAGAGCCTAGGCCACTGGTGACCCCTGTCATGCGTGTCTTGGTCTTTAGCGCCTGGCTCCTCTCCTTCTTCAGCTTTTCCTCGTCCCTCAGCAGAGCCACCAGGTGCTTGGCCTTCTCCCGGACGTTGACACCCTGGTCGCGTCCATCTCTATCGATGTACTGGAAGTCTCTCAGTGTCTGGATGGTGTATATGTTCTCCCGGCACTCCTTGGCCACGCGCTCAGAGCCCGTTTTGATCAGGTAGTCCAGCAGGGTCAGCGCCTTATAAACATGTCGCCAGTTTTTGCCGTGGTCATTGAGCCGCTTCCAGATCATACCCATTACCTCGGTGAACGCCACCACATTGAATGTCAGGTCTGCGATTTCAGACATGAGCGAGCTGGGAGGACCCCAGGGATCGTTGGAGGTGGCCTCTCTGACCTTGATCTCGGCCTCCGTGTAATTGTTGACCATGTTTTTCATCTGGCGGCGGAGCGATGAGGTCTGCATGATGGCAGTAGTGTGTCACAGGTGGCAAAAGATAAGTCTTAACAGCAGGCCAGCCCACTGTGCTGCCTCGGCCAAGGTGGCTGGTCAGTTCGGTGAAAAAAGGCAATGCAGTCGTCCTCCTATTGGCACCTTCAATGACGTCCACAAGTGTGCTCCTGCTAGGAACGGAACGCACAAATTAGATTATTTGAGCCTGTTACACGTGGTATTAACATTTTTGGAGAGAACTTCTTTCCCAGATCACACACGCCACATTAACATTAGTAACAGTGCTTGTACTGCTTTTGTAAGCTGTTACTAAGAGCACCGCACATTTTGTCATGCAGTATTTGTGTTTGGAAGGAGAGGGGAGAAACTCAGCACCTCTAAGCGATGTGAAACCCTATACCTGGGCTCAGTTTTCCCTTAGACAACTTCAAGAGATCTGTGTGTGATTACAGCGCACTGTTGCTACGTAAGCAATGCTTAGCCTATGACAGCTATTTCCTAGTTCAGTTCTACCAAATATTTTTTCCTTCCCTGTAAAGCAAATATTAGTTTCAGACCCAGGGACTAGAGATCTGTTTTTTACCTTGGAGCGTTATCAAAAACTGGGGAGGGGTGGGCTCCACCTCTCCTGTTTTTCTGACCTGATTACATCACCACAGCAGCAGTAGGGCTTCAAAGCACTCGAAGACTCACAAAACAGCTGAACTCCTACACAGATACGCATACTGTAGTCCAGCAGAATCACTAATCGTCTGCAGTTTTTTTTTTTAAATGTGTCATTTTTATTTCACAATATTACAATACACATAAAAAATATTATACAATATATTTCTATTGTACAATATCTATCACTTTGGGCTGGACATTGGACTGCAATTCCTCACAGTCATGGCAGTGAGTCAGTCTAACCGATAACTTTCCACTCCCAAAAGTGCCTCATCTATTTAACTAAGAACTGAGATGCATGAACATGAACAATCAATCCCTTTATTTAAGAGTCAAGTGCTGTGTCATGAGTAAGCATTTCCAAAATATTAAAAAGGGGCGTGAGATGGGCTTTAAGGTGTTGAGGTACTGAATGTGACAGAACTATATTTATAATGGGTATAAAATTCACATTGCGATACTTTTTACAGCCACAGTAGTTTAAACTCTTTCATAGCCTCATGAATGAATACTATGAATAAAAGGTGACGGCACTGAGTTGGCCTGCAATATCTGTCGTACTATGAGAGAGCACGCTGTAAATAGACTGTTAAGTGGTAGTAAGAGACAAAAATGTTTGTGGTTCAGCTGACCACAGGTTAAATCTCAAATGGTGACCAAAAAGCAGGCCCAGTTCACCATTCAGTCCCAGGATCTCCTGATTCCTGTGAGACATAACTAGAAACTCAGTTAAATGGGTGCCCTTGTGTAAATGAAGTGTATTAGTGGGGTTTTAATGCAGCTAATCACAGAGAAGAGACAGCATTCTAATCCAATCTACTGTTGCACTCACATTTATAATGAAGATAAACTCGTTTTGTGATGAAAGAAATTACTATCACATCAGTGAGCCTTGGTAGTAAGGGGGAGAGGGAGTCAGCACCCCCTCACCATCACAACACACATAAATACTCTTTCTGTCAAACACACACACACACACACACTCACTAAGAAAAAAAGATTTGTCACACAGCTTGAGTATAACTTATGACCTTGACATGACGGCACACTGGGCTGAAGTATTTACTTTTACTCATATTTACTCTATTCGTCTGTAATGCGCATTTTCCAGTAGAAGTGTAAAGTGAGCCCATCATTTCCTAATCCTCTTTATCTATGCTTAGGAAGCAAAGTCTAAACTGATCCCAGATCAGGCCTAGCGTGCATTACCCGCCCAGGTACTATGTTTTATTATGCCCTACAGATGTGTGGAAAAAAACACTAAAACCGCTGGAAAAAAGCACAGGTCCGATTCAACTTATTTCCCTGACTATGTCTTTTTGTGTGTGTGTGTGTGTGTGTCCCAGACCAGGACTGGGGGCCATTATCATGCACGTTGCGTCAAATGGGACGATCGGGTAGGTGAAAGTATGTGACCGTGACTCAGCTCGGTTTCCCCGACTTTAAAAGTTGAAACCTCGACGAAACGGGAAGAAAAACGCCGGATCGCGAACGACCCGCTTCCACTTTCCCTCTTACCTTCATGTCATAGCGCGTCAGTGGGGTCCCAACTTGGGGAGGCTTTGGGTGGAAGGAGAAACGCCTCCGCCTCTCGACATATCCCGTAGCTTTCGAAGAGAGAAAGAAAAGGAGAGTCCAAAGAGATCTAAAAGCGCAGATCAGAGCATCCGTGTGCGCTCAAAATGGATCCAGAAAGCTGAAGCGCAGCGGTGCTGTTTCGCTATCAAACTTAGTTGTGTGTGCACATCGCAAATCCACTGGGTTTGCAGATGGCACAGGCCCCCCTAAAAACACACACACACACACACACACATACACACACGAGCACACACACACACGCGCAGTAAAAATGGATGGAGAGGGAGCGAGCGAGGGAGGGAGGGAGGGCTGCTCGGTGCATGCAGAGTCAGACTTAACCCTTTCACTGCCTGATGGAAAAGCATCAGTGCGTAGTGGAGCAGGTTGACATAGAGCACAGTGAAGAATCACACACTTTATGCAGGCACTCAACACCGATAATTACAGACTGTGTGCTGTAAGTAGAGACACGCTATTAGGACTGCATTTGTTCGGACAAATCTGCAAATACCTTCATCTCATATCCTAATGTATTACATTTCAGCAGATCTCTGTGCAGAATTTAAAGCAAGTCATTTGATATCTAAATATTACAGAGTGCACCCTGCAGATGGGAATATATATATATGGATATTAGTTGTGCACTGGGAGGTAAAAATAAGATGGGTATAAACCTCTAACTGAGTACCACAGATGCTTTAGTTTCCCATAGAGCTATGCTCGTTACACTTTCTGGCAGAGTGAGTGACCATGTTATCCCAGAGGAATTCAGCAACAAACCACATTTCCTTTTCAGCAGATTCATCATTGCATCCCTGCTCTTTACTTATTTATCACCACTAATGGGCTGTTGTCTGAAGTCATATCCTTATGCATTATATAAGCCCTGAACAAAAAATCTCTTATATCTGTATTTACTTTGGCTCAAATTCAATCAATTGTTCAATGTACGAATCTCTGCCCAACCACAGGTCATCTAGATGAAAGTACAGAAGGCTCATATCTCATGGTGTTGAGTAATGATTACCTAAGTGAGGGAGAAGCAGCAGGAGAGAGCAGTGGGTCTTGTGGCTGGTTGACTGAGCAGGATATACAGGAAATACCAGCTCCACCTTGAAATAACAAAGGCATGACTCTTGTAGACGACAAAAGGGCAAAGTACAGAAATCATTAGTACAACAAGCAGTGTGAAACTTTAAAATAGATCTCGGTATCTGATGGCTCGTTCACATAAGTTGTAGTGTGCTTTCCTGACTGTGGGAGTGTACATTTACATGTTGCAGCTCTCTGTTTAATCGTCATGTGGCTCTCAATGATCAGAGCTCAACTTCATACATACCTCCTCAGGCCCTCCTCCTCTCTGTCTTGGCACCCTATGTCTTTATTTCTCCTGAAAACAGATGCCTGAACACTCTTTGTTTCCCAACAAAGGCCTGATGAGGTCAGTGCAGGGGGGACATGCAGGCGAGGTCTGGGAAAACAGAGGGGGAGGAGAGAGAGCTAATAAATAACACCAACCTACTACTGCACGGCAGTGACGTCATGCAGGAGGGGAAATCTGACTTCTGTGTGTATGAGTGTGTGTGTGTTTCATATTTGAAGGTAATGAAAAACAAGATAAATGTGTGTCACTGATCACTTTCTGTCCACTAGAGGATCAAAAACCTAACTGTACAACTTCATCTGTCCTTCTTTGCTGCCCTCTAGTGGTTTTGTATTTGTTTTCTGGTTGGTTGTGTTGTATTTTCCTCTGGTTGCTTCTGTAATACTAACATTACCATGGCTGGACTACCAGCTAAGCCACTGCCCAGGGGTCCAAGAACCCCTTCCCCAAGCCCCTAAACGTCCCAGGTTCACTCGATGGTTGGTCGTTAGTGGGTTTGTCAGAAATTTGCATCACTAATGCACAATCCTCCATCTCGTTCTCCTGGTCTTATAGATGGACTCAAAATCTAGTTTTAAGCCTGTAACTGTTTTAGTTTATATTGTGCTAATTTGTTGTAATGTTGTGATTTATCAAATTGCTTTCATTTTTTCTGTCTATCAATGATTTTACACATCACATAGAAAACATTGGGGAAAGTAGTTTTATTCCATCCATAGGATGTAACTGTAGGGCTGCAACCAACTATTAGATATTCATTATCATTAGGTCTGACATTTATAAACACTTTATGGTATCTGTATATCAAGTACCATGAATTCTTGAATGACTTAAAGAAGAATGAATAATTAATTAATTCATGTACTTAATGAACTGTCAGGAATGTACAAGGGTTGGGTGCCCGGTTAGCTCCAGTTGGGTGAGCTAGCGACCATGACGAGGCTGATCCTTGCTGCAGCGGCTCAGGGTTTGAATCCGACCTGTGGCCTTTTGCTGCCTGTCTGTCTTCAGCTGTCACTACCATAAAGGCAATAAAAGCCCAAAAAATATACTTAAAAAAAAAAAAAGGAATGTACGAGGGTTAATAGCAGCCAATGCACAATGCAATGCAAGAATGATGTTAATGTTAATTAATGCAATAACTATTTTCAATCAACGTCACTGACCAGGCCACCACTTTAATTGAGGGGCCACAATCGTGATGAGTTTGAATGCTTAGTTAATCATGATTACAACAACAAAATACATATGCACATGAACATGAAAATCTGCAAGTGCAACCACATGTTTGTATTACCCAAATCACCAAGAATGAACGAAGGTTAAAAATAATTATTGTATCCGCCCTGTGATTAGGATCCGCTCTAAAATGTAATGGGTGCTTCTTTGGCCCATGCTACACCCTTCCACCAAGTTTCATGAAAACAAGGCCAGTAGTTTTTTCCGTAATCCCGCTGACAGACAAGCAAACAAACAAACAGCACAGAAAACATAACCATAATGGAGGTAATTAGGAAGAGTATTATCAACATAGCTGGCCATTACCATTTCTGTCAATCAACCAATTGAGTAATTAACTTAATCATTTCAGCTTTAATGTACTTTAGAGTTTGTTGTGCCTGGGGATACAATGAAACTGCCTCTATTGTACTGGGATATTATGAAACTGCCTTTATTGTACTGGGATAGTATGAAACTGCCTTTATTGTACTGGGATATTATGAAATTGCCTTTATTGTAGTGGGATATAATGAAACTGCCTCTAAATTTGTCCTTTCATCCTCACTGACCCAAGGACAAAGACAAAGGATGTTAATCTGGCCATGCACATTACACGTAATTATGAAATCATCAATTATCAGACTCCTCCGGTGACAGTGTGATGAAATCTGAAATCATTTCCTGACACAAATCAGCTCACACCATCTAACAAGCAATTCAAACGGCTTTAATAAGATATAGGCATTTAGAAAAGAAACACATTGTAACAAGACAATATAATAAGATACATATAGATAGGATTTAAAAAGTAAAATTTAATAAAACTCATTAATAAAGAGCAGAATAAAATTACACTGTTCAAGAGTAAGAGTAAGAGATGAGTGCCTCATCAAATTATCCTGACTGTAATTTGATGTCCATGTTCATTATCCATTTATCTGTGGCACTTAACGGAAAAACAAGCTGTTCAATTGTGTGGTGTTGAAAGCACCACAAAGAGACTTTTTACATTAAGCAAATGCAACAAAATTCTACAGTTAAGTGGTGAATCTGCCCCTGGAATCAAACAGATGACTTGGTTATATCTACACTGTATTTTGGTGTTTACAATGAACCAATGTGTTTACAATGAACCATGTGACATCTAAACTGATCCTACAGTATGTGACTATTTGATGGGCTGATTATGTGGTCCCATCATTTCCATAAATACAAAGTGAGCCTTCTCTTGTTAAAGTGAAAGTGGTTTCTATATTTAGTCATGAAACCAGGGACTGAATGACGGTGTGTGTCATATACATAATCAACAGCCATTAGTCCAGTATGACGTATGTGACTAAGGTAACTGAAACTGAGCCCCTCTGCCAATGTAAATTATAGTAGCGGTAGCAGCATTAACTTTTGTGTAGTTAGTCATCGTAGTTTGTCCTCATATACCACTGTATGTATTAATATTAATTGCAAAACACCATAAAGAACTGTTCATTTCATATTTATATTTCAACAAATACTCTTGAGGGTCATTTAAATACAAAGAAACACTTGTAAAGTAAAGTACACTCTAAAGTTACTTTGCCATCAGTTAGACTCCCAGAGAGGTCCTGTTGTGGACAAACTGTTATAAAACCCCAACAACAGACATCCAAACAGGCTTACTGGAACTGCAATGCCAAAACATCAGCCCACAAAAATAATTAACAACTCCCTATTTTATTTTTTGTTACAGAAATTTTTCATTTCATAAAGTATTTTGTTGTCAGTACCGTTGCTCAATGTTCCATCAGTACATCAACATACATTACAGGGCCAAAAAAATGTACCTCTATTACATTTTCCATCAACACTCCGAGCTGCACTTGAAATGAGACTGCACTTTCTATGGAAATGAAATTTTTCTTTCTGTGTGACTGCATATATAACCCATTCGCCAGTAAGAAACTGTTATGTGGGCTTTCTATTCAGAGTGCCCTTGGTTTTTTGAAAGGATGGTTTTGAGGATGGTTTGATTGAGCCCACAGTTATTCAGTATGTTCTGGCTCCTGCATCAACTGACAAAGTAGTATTGTTCAAATGTTCAGTTCAGAACATGAATCTTGAATCTTCAGATAAAGTCAGACTAAATACGACCATGTTTTCACACATGTTCCAAGACTAAACCCTCACTGTCTACCGAATACCAGATTTACTGATGCACAAAAACACTGTCATGGTCTTCATCATGAAGTGAAGGTAATGAATAATACCCATGTTCCCAGCTTTTTAACAATGTCTTCGTACAATGGAAAATAAAACCACATTGCAGTTGCTGAAGCTGGCTTGGGGGGCAGAGAATTCATCATCAGGCATCATGAATCCTGCTGCAGAGAGTGAGCTGTTTCTCAAGCCTTTTACACTGAGAGCACGTCGTGATCGCTGCAGAAAACAATGGGGGTTGAATGCAGGTACTGGTCATAGCGGCCTCATGAATAAATCCCAAGAGGTATAGGAAAACACTGTATGGTGGTTATATGAACATAAAAATAGATACAAGAAACAGGTTGCATAAAACTGTAAACATATCAAATGACTGTAACCATGGCAGCATCGTATGTGAAGAGAATGAACATAATTAATTAGTACTCACACTTCACACCTCCAGTGTCCATGACTACAGGGATTTGGGCAATTATGTGGACACTCCATCAGTTCATTAATTCCACTTATCCATAATCACACAGGAAACACCTGTTTGCGAGGTGATAAAAATAGACTGGTACATTTAATAGTTAGGTTTGAACTCATTAAATTGTTTGTCTCAATGTGTTCAAAAGCATATTTTGAATCTGATTTGGATCATTTTGAACATATTTTGGGAAAGCTGCACCATTAAGTGAAAACTCTATTCTCAATTCCAGACTTCTCTAGAGCTCATTTCTTTCAAAGGAATATTACAAGACTTTAAACTGGAGATCTTGAGTGCTGGGGGGTGCTTCTATAAAAGGAGTGTGTCCTTCTCTGGATGAGCCTGTGACGCAGAAGCTGCGCTTGGTGTGGGTGTATAAGAGGAGACACTCGGCTCCGTTTCGGCGCACACATGGAGAAGCAACTGGGTTGGTAAGATATTGATCGCCTCTCGGTGTCCGGAGACGCTTGAAAGAACATTGAGATGAACACAACTGAGAAGTTTTATCTTCCCGTTGATGGCATCCTCGAAATGTTCAACTCTCTCACCGTGCAATCACGCATTACGCACCCAGTTCTTCAGAGCGCAAGCCTTACCCCACTACCCCAGCACACCAAAGTTTCAAACATATCGAAGACAGGTATGGGTATCATTAAGACGGTCAAGGGGCGCTGGAGACCACAGGATAAGAGAGCGGTTGCAAGCAGATCGTCGAGCTCTGGCAATCGGCAGGTTTCGACTGATCGACTCCCCAAAAGGTCCGTGGATCTGCTGGAGCTGGGTCTGACCAAGCCTAAGAACTGTCACAGGATAGTTGTGCTCGGCGCACCCAAAGTTGGTAAAACCAACATCATGCAGCGCTTCTTGGGTAAAGAATTTGAAGAGAACTATGAACCCACGACCGAGGACTTTCACAGAAAGCTGTTCCACATAGGAGGAGAAGCGTATCAGGTGGATCTTCTGGACGCAGCAAGTGAAAGGAACTTCCCGGCAAAGCGGAGGTTATCCATACTGACAGGTGAGCCCATGGATCATTAATAATCACTGCAGTCTGATGTCTAGAAATATTGTTTTATGCAGTTTTTCATCATTATTATCATTTGACATAAAAATGCCATAATCTCACTAAGAAATATGATGTAAGAATTATGATTTTTGTCCTTAAAGTCTACATTTAATTATCAATAATTAAAGTGATGCTTTTTTTTTACTCTCCAGGTGACACATTTCTGCTTGTGTTCAGTTTGGATGACAGAGAGTCTTTCGATGAAGTCTGCGAGTTGCTCAACGAGATCAAGGCTGCCAAAGCAAAGTTACTGAAATTAAAACATCCCGCGAGAATACCGGCAGTGATCTGCGGGAACAAAGCGGACTCTGACGCGCCCAGAGCCGTGATGCACTCGGAGGTGACGGAGATCCTCGGTGAGGATGTCGCATTCTTCGAAACCTCGGCCAAAGACAGCACCGGGCTGGAAGGTGCGTTCAGGGCCCTTGCCACTCTAGGCGGGCTGCCCGGCGAGACCAGTCCGTCACGGCACCAGCTCATATCCATCCTCAGCTACCAGACGCTGTGCATCAGCCAGAGGGGCCGGAGTGGGAGCCGTAAGCGGGAACTCGGTGCGCCCTGCGCCGCCATGGACCCTCTGGCGCGCCGCCCGAGTTTCACCAGCGACCTGCGGCTGGTGCTGAGATCCAGCACCAAACACAACAAACCCGAGAGGTGTCACATTCAATGAATCGTGAGCCTTCTCGATAAACCAATTGTAGTAGTATGCTGCAATTTCGTATTATGTAAGGAGTTATACTCTGTAGCACCTGGCTGGACCAGTGCATTAATATTTTGTTTTTTTGTATGTGTAACTGTATTATATTATCCTATAATAAATGAAATGAATATTTCTATTTCTCATATGTGCTTTGTGATCTGTTCAGCCACCAGTTCATGTCAGACACATAACCAATATCACAGAGAGGTGAAGGAGATACAGACATAGGCTATAGGCTATTGTTAGACTCGAGCACTTTGACCTAGCTGTTAGACGTAAGCAATTAATTGTGTTCAAGTGATGATGTAAAACCTGATCATAAGTGCGTGGGAGGGGATGACTCAACCACAGACCTTAAGAGTCTTCTAATTTGTCAGACACTAGAGATTGTTTCATTTCCAAGCCTCCCACGACGCTGCGAATGGCATCTCGGACCGAGGTGTGACAAAGCGCGGTTTAGGAGCACCAACAGTGTACACACTCATGTGTCACCGCAGGATTCAGAGGAAACAAAAGAGTCAGAGCATCGATTATTAATGAGAGGGAGGTGGGCGAGAGGAGAGAGACATATTGAACTCCGGGAAATCAGCACCATGGAGAGAGCCCACTGTTCCATTTATATCCTTTCTCTCCAGGAGAAAACACATCCAACCCACAGAGTGGCCTTGGTTTGTAAAAAAGGATGGTCTGATGGAGACAAAAACTGTTATTCAGTGTGTTCTGGCTCAAATGAACTGACAGTACTGTTAAAATGTTCAGCTCAGTACTTTAAAGTCAGGCAAGATGTACCCAGTTACCCCTCCAGACATGTATTAAGACATATATACAAATAATCAGCTTGAAACAATAATGTCTGATATGCAAAAACAATATATTTTCCACATTAAAATCCTTAAAATAGCATCTACTCCTATGAAAATCTAGTTAATTAAAGTTTTCCTTTACAAAGTCCGTTCTCAGTATGTGCGCACTGGTGACTAAAAGTTTCCAATCACACTTGTATAACATGTATACTGGACCAGAACTGACTTTTAAAACTATTTGTGATGTCACAGTGACAATGTTGGTGATGCTTGTAGGCCCCACCCCTTAAAATTAGTTTTTCAATGAGCACAACATTTTCCACTTCCAGCTGATGAATTTGAAAACAGTCTTGTCAAACTCTGTAAGTACATTGTTCTGCACATCGAAGCTCAAACATCTAAAAGTGAGAACAAGAAAAAAGCATATTTGTGAGAGGGAGGGGCTCTTTAAATATTATTATGCAGCTGCTGAAGCTGGCGGTGCTGCAAGACTCGTCATCAGGCTTCATGAATCTGCAGCAGAGAGTGAGCTGTTTCTCCAGCCGGAGTGCACATCGTGATCACTGCAGATAACAATGGGGGTTGTACTGTTCAAATCCCAAAATCCCAGATGAAGTTATGTCAGGCTGTGCAGGCATGTGGGAACACACTATGTGGTAGTTACATAAACGTAAGAATATATAAAAGAAACAGGCCACAATTACACTGAAATCATTCCAAATTACTATTGTACTATTGTATTGTCATCCTTTTATCCATAATGAGACAGAAAGGCCTCCCTGTCATTTCCCTAGTAAAATACTAACACATGCTTAATTCAAATGTGAACTTTTGACAGCATCAGTCTATGTTATGAATCATCTCTGGCTGTAACAGCACTTCAGAAGTAATAGTCTCAACGAGACAGTGGCAGGGCCATTGTTGTGATGATGTTAATCATTTATTTCCTCTCATATACTGTAAGATCAATTACACTGATTTGTAAATGAGTTTAACTAAAATGTTGCTGAATGGTTCAATAGATCTCTTTGAATGACACTGAATTAATCCAAATTAAACTGCCACTTATAGACAAGAAACATTTGGCAGCACACTCGGTCCCTATACTCAGTGCCAAATTATAAATTACTGAGACTGTTATTTGACTTTAGTTAGTTAGTTAGCCGGATTTATAAGCAGTGGTGGTTTTTCAGATAGAATTTCCTTATTCATTCCTGTATGATTATACATTTTATTCTTCATATATATGTAATTGTTGTATCAAGAGTAAAAGACTCAGGTAAACATTGTCACTGTAATTAGTGCCACACAGATCTAAATTCCAAGAAAATAATTATGGAATTACAGACTTTTCTTTACTTTTCTTTACTAAAACAGCCCCTGTTTGCTATTGTGCTGAACATGGCCCTTAAATATAGATTTATCCATCTATTCAGCAGGTGTATTTACAAGAGCAGCGAAACTCACGTCTATTCCCAATACAGACACATACTGAACTGGCATTTACCTCATTTCCTGTACCCTGCAAGATCAATAATTATGTTTACATAACAGTAAAAATTAGCTAATTATATAATTGCACGATGGCGCCTGGGAGTTTTTCAAAAATATATATAACAATATAATAGGAAAAAGCCAGTGGGGGATGTAATTACTGCATAGTTTGTGGTGGTTTAGGTTACTATGACAACAGTTTTACATGTCCTGTCAGCCTAACCCACAGGCAAGCTTTCTCTGACGTTATCTGCTCTCTTCACATTACTGTCATCGTGGGTTGGAGGTCTTCTTTGTTTGTCAGTGTGGTGGTCCCTTTGTAGCCTCGGACTGATTTGTTTTTCCAGCTCCACCAGTAGAGCTGGCAGCATGCTGTCCAGTAACGCCAGTCCGTGCCAGGAGCAGCGCAGGCCTCTAATAAGGAAAGACAAAAAAATAAGACAAAGAGTTGTTCTTTACTATTAGATTATTATAAGACAAACATTTCCTGGTTCCAGCTTCTCAAATGTGAGGATCTGATGCTTGTCTTTGTCTTGCATTTTAGTTATTATGAACCAATTATAATATATGAGACATTGACTAATACAGATACAACAGATAAAAGAAGCTATTTTAGTACATCACTTTGGGCTGTTGGAAATTAAAAAATGCATTTCCCCCCACTTTCTGACATTTTTTAAACAACAAAATTAATTAATCAATCAAGAGAATAAAAAAACTACACTTGTGGGCGATCTCTTTCTCCCCAGTGAAAATGTAAAACTTTTGAATTTAGGTATTTAAAAATGGTAGTCATAAGTCACCTGTTGTCAAGAATGAGTCTTCCACTCTGTAGCAGCTCTTGGACATCGGTGGATCTACCAAAGACTTCACGGAGTGTCAGCTGAGGGCTAAACAACTCCCAGTGCTGCATAAAAAGACCGCACATGTGCAAAATGTACTGAATGCTGAACCTTCACAGACACACAAGATTACACAGAAACCTTGCTGAATAGAACATTTTCCATTAGTACATTTTAAGTCGGCTTAAAGAGTTTATTGTGTGTGCTTCACCTTGTGATTAATGCCCTCGGTCATTCTCATTCCCATCACCAACACCTCCTCCAATCTGCCAAGCAAACATCTTTCATTAAAAGAACTTCAAAGGCCAGAGACAGAGTGAGCAAATGGATTAAATGGAGTCTGATAATAGCATTTCACAAGGACAGAATGTTTGAAAGAACAAGCACATGTACGGCGATCTCCGACACTATGTTTGTCACACTGTGTTAAATTACACTCCGTGGATTGGCTGGTACATAATTGCTACATTTCACATGAGAATTTGTGGAAATGGCAGATGCCCCCTTTGTGTCACAACCAAATATACTCATCACAAGACACAACACCACTGCCTGTAAGTGCAACAGCTCACAGTTCAAGATGGTTGAGCTGAATCCGCCTCCGTGTCCCATGTCCCCTCTGCTGGACTTCACGCATCCAGACGTCAGGCTCTAGAGTCTGGGTCCGGGCCTCCCTAGCGACACCTCCTTCGCCCGGGAGAACGAACCGCCCGTGTGCTCCTGTCACAGACGAAAATGCTTAATAACTTTTCCACAAATACAATATTCATAAATTGCTGCTTCCAATCTAGATAATAGATCACCTGGGCCGACACCGATGTATTGTCTTCCTTTCCAGTAGCTCATATTGTGATGACTCACTGCTTTCTGCTTAACACAAAAGGGAAGCATTGTTGTGTTGTCGTGACTGTTGCACAAAACAGAGCAGACATCTGCCTTGTTGACGGAGTGGAGACATTTCATCAGAAATACAAAAGAAAATAAGTCTTTTATTGTAGCAGAAGCAATGTCACTTCTAACTCTCACTCTATAACCTGAAGGACACTGCTCATGATGAATATAAACTCATCGTTTATATGAGTTTATATTCATCATGAAACTCGCCTTAAAAGTGTGAAAATTAAAGCGTTTTACTCAAAAGGAAGGTGAAAGACTAGTTTGCCTTCTGTTACAAAGGAAAACGTGACCACTTTGGTCCAGACTGAAATAGTTCAGCAACTATCAGATGGATTACCATGAAATGTTGTACAAATGTTCGTGATCCCCAGAGGATGAATCCTTGACTGAAAATGACTTTGGTGATTGTCTGACTTTTCCTCCTTTTCACCATGACGTTGACATTTGTCCTTTTGAGTGAGACGTCTCCACAACAATTGGATGGATTGTCATGAAATGTGGCCATCCCTTAAGTTTCAGCGCCATCATCAGGTCAAAACTTTAAATGCATCTTATAAAAACTGAAAAAACAAATTTAATTCTCATCAGTTTCAGCTATACTTTGTGCTTAGTGCTACTTAGCAAATACACAAAGCTGGTGAACATAGTAAACATTATACCTGTTGAACATCTGCATGTTAGCGTTGACATTGTGAGTGCATTAGAATGCTGACATGAGCATTTAGATCAAAACACCACAGAGCTGCTAGCATGACTGTAGTTGACTCTTAGTCTTAGATTAAATTTGGGACCCTTTTATTATTTTTATATTATTATTTTGTTTCTCTATTTTTAGTTATTTTCCTTACTGTGTTTTGAATGTTGCTGTAATGCATGTTTATTCTTTATATAAAGCACTTATTCAGTATTCCAAAGGTTCTCTACTAATACATTTTGGATTAATAAGGGAACATATTATCGTATATTTGCGCTTCCTTTAGTCTTTATAAAAGATGCAATGTTTTCTAAGGTGAGGAGGACAATCAGTGAACTGTCCTTCTGCTGAGGACTTACATGTTTTGCAAAGTTAGACACCTCGTACTGCAGAAACCCATGCTGGTGCAGAGTCCTCCTGGCACACTGGTACATCTCAGCTGTCACGTCTTCAGCGGGAACAGTCACCTCTCCTCCTTGCACCTGTTTGAACAGCTGAGTGCCGCGCTCCAAGGTCAGCTGGTACAGAGACACGTGGTCGTCGCACACACTCAACAGCTTAGACAACTCGTTCTCCCAGGATTCAACGCTCTGTTTGGGCCGGCCAAACATTACATCCACCGACACCCTCCCCGGGCACAACCTCCTGGCCTCTTCGATAGTTTGCAAGGCCTGACGAGAACTGTGGTCTCTTCCCAGAATTTTCAAATCGTCATCCTGCAAAGACTGAAGGGTTGAAAATGTGATATTGAGACTGTGCAGCTGTGCAGGTTACAATCCAATCTTATGTGATCAGTCTTCTCTTGATTTTATATTCACCTGGACCCCAATGGAGAAACGGTTCACCCCAGCACGGCAAAAGTCCTCTAACTTTGACATTCCCACGGGAGTAGGGTTGACCTCGAGCGTGACCTCGGCCTTTTCTGAGAGACTCGCCTGCCTGGAAACAGTTTCCAGGACGGCAGCAACGGTTGAGGGGTGAGCCAGGCTTGGAGTCCCACCACCGAAGAATACAGAGGTAACGCTGCATGGAGAAACCACAATTAAAAGGTGGGTGAAAGCTGCAAAGGGGGATACATGGACGACTGCATGTGGAAGGTCTAACAAATCACCATACCAGGATACCTGACTGAGCTGCAGCAATGTCTCAGTCTCCTTCTGGAGGCACTGTGTCATCATGTGCTCGTTGTTCTCTCTGGATATATACTTGTTAAAGTTGCAGTAGGAACACCTCCTGAGACAGTAAGGCCACTGTAGAAGGGAGGAAGGTTACTTTGATATGATTTAACAATAACAAGGCCCGGATTCCCCACTGACACTGACTCTTATACCCACCCTGTATATACAGTATGCATTACATTAATGCACCCCCGTCTTCTGCACAGTTTTCTTTTCTTTCTTATCTTTATCTATTTATGATTTTGAAAGTACTTTAATTCTTTCTGTGTGATTTTTGCTGTGATTTGAAAATTGTACTATTTGTTATATTTGGTACGTTCTGTATGATTGTGTATTAGTTTTATGCACCAATTGCACCAGGACACATTCCTCATAGTTGTAAAAACCTACTTGGCAATAAACAAAATTCGGATTCTGATTTCGGCCCAAACTTTCTAGACATGGCATATTAAATAATAACACTTAATCAGTTTAAGTGACCCAAAAGCTCACATGTACGTAAAGCGACGCCTGCTTGGTGAGCTGTGCAGAGCCCGTCCGTTCAAACGCATCTTCCACTATTTCTCCGCCGGAAGCGTCAGAGAAGCGGCGCACACCGGGAGAGAGGGCACGTCTGACCGCACGCAATGGGATCATCCTGGAGGCAGTGCGTCTGTCTGTCTGACGGCAAACTCAACTGTCTGTCTGAAGCCTGAGTCGGGGTCGGCCTTCACTTGAACACGTGGTCCCATTACAGCGTTTCCATGACAACAGTCCGGCCAAAGAAGCGTGCTCTCGTTTCGACTGTTTACGTCGTTTTAATTTTAAGGTCTCTTCCGGGTGGCTGTGACGTTGCTCAAAAACAGGAAATAGATAAATGTGGTTTCCTCTTCGTGTGTTACGAGGTTTGGCCACACGGGGGCGCTGTTTACCATGAGCAGTTTGCTGTATTGTACACATTGATTTCACACTGCAGTGTCAGATTAATGCAATTGTTGGGTATATTAACCCCTCTCTGCAGTTTTGGGGTCTATTTCTACCATTCTTCTGTTTAGTACCTAGTAGCATCTCATGTAAACACCACAGAGTAAAGGCTTAAATTGAGAAAGACACCATTAATGTAAAAACATTCATTACTGAATTTATTAATCTTCATGAAAATGAGTGTTTCCCCCACACTGAGCCTACTAAAATATGAACCATTTTCTATTTTCCATTCCTCTTGTCCACAACGCTGCTAAATTTCAGTGTGATGTGTAAAATTACTAAGGGTTCACAATGCACTCAGTAAGCAGTGCACTTATATCAAAACCTTTTCAAAATGGCTCAAATGTGCTTGTCCATTTCCAAGAGATGTTGGTGTCTTTTTATGTTATTGAATGACTAATGGTGCATACCCAGGGGCTTGATCTAATTAGCACCTGGTTAGCTGTTACTACAGTTGTATGAATATTTTTAGATTTAAAATTATGTCTTATAGAGAATTATCCCAAAACTTAAAAGCATCCCAGGACTCAAAAAGGCCCTAAAAGTCCCCCTGAGGATTTGTGACTTCCACACACATTATTGATGAGAAGACTCAAATACTTTCATCCATTTGTAATAGATCACAAACGTTTGTCACTTTAGCTATATCAAACATGTAGCATGCTCGTCATCAGAAACAACAAGTACAGGTGCCAGAGGAAAACTATAACAAAGGCAAGAAGCCCTCACAGAGTTTATGCTCCTAATGTTAATGTTTTGAGTTTACATGAACATCTGAACATGAAGCCTATTTGTGTTGGCTTTTTGGCATGAAGCTGATTCACATATCAGCAGATCTTTGAAAACACTGTTATTTGACCCTAGTCTATATTTGTAATATAAATTTGTGCTCTACTCACACAGGATCAAACTAATTTAATGAGCTATTGATTTCCCTGAGAAAAAAAACACAGTCTGGTGGACTCACAGTGAGATAACCTTGTAGGGTCATCATTAAAATCTAAATGTTAACTCGAACAGAGAAAGAAAAAATAACACTGTGCAAATGTTTATAAAAAATATCTACTTATCAGGCTTACAGTAAATTAAATCTCTTCATCATTTTGAGTTACTCAGCTCTGTTAGTGGACAAACAACCCTCTAGTCAATGCTTGTCATATTCAAATAATTACCTTTTATCAGCATTAATTAACATGGGAGAGTTTGTTGTGATTATGATGATTATACAAATCACAAATCTCTAAATAAATAAAGGAGGCAGTCAACATCCTCTACCTAAATTATATATATATATATACGATATTGTCAACGTACAAACTACAAAGATACAAAACACAGCAGTTTATTTAGTAATTAATTTAATTAATACGTTTTTCATTGAATATGTCAATAAATGGGAATGTGCTTACTGTCAGCCTCCAACCCTGGGGGCATTTTCCACTAATATTAAATCTGGTGCCCAATTACCTAATCAACAGAGAGAGAGAGAGAGAGATTAGGTAAAAGAACAGGGGTCTGTTTTCATTGAATTTGCAACAGTGGTTGTGATAAGTTCAGTCCAGTGAGAAGCTGGAGAACTCTATGATCATACAAAGTGAATCTGTGCTGTAAATCTGCCAAATGGATAAGAGGAAGAAAGGTAAGATCCCTGGTTTAATATTTACAGGGGGTAAACGAACATGAATGACTACTCTGCTTTACTTAAATTTAACATACAAAGCTAAAAATAAATAAATTGGGATTTATAAGTTATTTGGGGGAGTTTTTAGCTATTGGGCTAACAACACAGCTTATGTCAGGTTTGGGGTTGGTCGGTCCAACAAATATTGATTGGGATGCCATAAATATGGTACAGACATTCATGGTCCACAGGAGATCAAGCCCAATGACTTTGATGATCCATTTATCTAGTGCTACTAATAGGTCAAAAAAATTATTTATCTTAGTATCTCATCATCTACTCGACAGATTTTATACAGACATTGGTGATCTCCAGACCTTTCCTCTAACATCAACATGATGTTGCTATTTGAGACTTTGAGTAAAATGCCCTGACAACAACTGGATTTTCATGTACTTTGTTACACACATTCATGCTCTCCTTATAATGAATTGTAATCTGACTGTGTTACATGTTGCGCCATCATAGGACAAAAGATTTTACAGAAAGTATAAAAAAAACATGCTATAAATAAAAATAAGTGTGAGCAAATGCACATTACTTTTTGCATTCACATGGTGATACTTCTCAAACTGAGCTGAACTTCTTTACAGGATCTATCACAGAATTAAGGCTTATGGTGGTTGGTAGCAGTGGGCCTTCACAGTTCCAGTTAACGAATGCCATACTTGGGAGAGAGGAGTTTTCTAAGGATATCACAAGCATTTCTGACAGCAGAAAGAATATTGGAGAGCTGGCAGGAAGAAGAGTGGCTGTGATCAATGCACCAAGTATCTATTACAAGGATATATCTCAACCCAAAAGGAAGATGGAGCTGAGAAGGTCTAAGTGCTTATGTAATCCTGGTCCACATGCCTTTCTTGTTGCCTTTGACATGGATAAAATCTCCCCAAATGACATGAGAGCTCACAAACTGATAAGGAAACTCTATGGAAGACACTGTTTGAGGCACTGCATGGTCCTCCTGGCCTATGAAGGAAATATGGAGGAAGCTGCCCTGGAAAACAGGGTGCAGAAGACTGACTGGCACCTGAGAGAGCTGATTGAGAAGTACGGTGGACGCTTTCATGTTTTCAGCAAGAACTGGAGAGATCGCAGCCGGGACCAAGAGCTGCTACAGAAGATAGAACGGATGGTGGCCTCCTTAGGAGGGGGCTACTTCTCCAGCAGAAGTTTCCAGAAGGCAGAGGACAGCGTGAAGAGGGAGGAAAAGAAGCTTCGGAAGCAGAGGGCAGCAGAGATAGAGAAGGCATGGACTGATATGGAGAAGCAATACATAGCGGAGGAGCTGTATCACCAGAAGGATGTCTACACCACCAGTGTCGGTGCAGAGATCAGAACCAAGGCGGAGATGGACAATGGGTGGCTCAGAACGTCCCTGGCCAGAGGACTGGGGACTGGTCTTGTTGTGGGAGCTGTCGTGGGTGCACTGTTTGGGTCCATAGAGGGGCCAGGGGGGATGGTTCTTTATGGGATCATAGGTGGTGCAGTAGGTGGATCGGCAGGAGGAACAGCCCAGGTAGCTATAAAGCACATGGAGAACAGAGTGGCGCCTCTTGCCAGACTTAACTTTAACTCAATTTTCATCAATCGCTTCTTTGCAGCTCCACGTCCATGACAGCATGGTAATGACTTAGGACCTGTTTTTCAGGAATAAAATGATCATGTGCACTTAACTGTATCTGTTGCTTCTGTAGCTTTCAGGCTGACTTGATACCAAATTAGATAAGGAAATGTGCAGCCCCCTTTAGGTTGAAACACAAGCTTCACTGGTTCTACACTATGCTTTGGTTTTGGAACAGAACTGCTTAAGAGGATTACTAATGTTAAAAAACTGTAAATCTCATGATAAGTGTCATGGCTGTAAGTCTGTATTTTGAATAAACAAAGTTGTCCAACATTTCCTGGTGTCTTGCTGTAGGTTAGTTGAAGTGTAGCTCAGATAACATTCAGGGTGGAGTCTCAACTGAGAGTGCCATTGTCTAAAGCACTGCCCCTTTCCTAGACACCACACACACACACACACACCTAAGTGCACCTGTTGAGTGTTCACCGCTTTTAGAGTCTATGTATTATTACATGAAACTGTGAATAGAAGCAGTGTAGACTGACTACAGTGTTACCTGGACAAGATCAACTGGGATAGGTAAGACCACCTTTGCCTTAGTTAATGTTTTTATATTAGTTTCTGTTTCAAGTTACTTACAGACAGAAATCAGACCTGTGAATCATTCATGAGCGTGTTGCATAATCCGAGATTGTTTCCTACTTGAATGTCACAATGTGGTCAGGACGAAATTTAGGAATCACATGAAAAACAACATTAGGATTTCAGTAGTTGCTGCTTTTTGTTGAGTTGTTCGGTAGGTGCACTGTAGCTTTCTGATTACGTAACAAAGTATTTTGTTGCTACCTGTTTGACGACATACTTTACATCACATCTATTACTTGGCTGCTTCCGCTCTCTACAGTATTATCTGTCCTTGATCACAAAGAAATTCTTTTTAAGTCAGATGTCTTTGACACTGACAATAAGAGTAAGACACTGTGATAGAAAATGATCCGAGGACTTTGTTGTGGGAAGCTGTCCAATGTTATTTCAGTGGATTAAAAGAGAACCGCACATCCTGATCTTTGTGTATCATTATATAATATGAAAGGAATGCCAAACTGCTTAAAACCACAACATGCCTGAGAGTGCTGCATAGCTGAGCTGCAAATATTTTCAGTCAAGTAATCAGTGGCAAGTAACTATAGTTCAAGATTGAATGTTTGATTTGATTAGTTATTTTAAGTTAAGTTAAGTTCAAGTTTTAAGTTTATTTAATTTATAAAGCACTTTAAAAGCAGGGTTTTTGCAGGATTTTGAATGCAGGACTTCTACTTAATATGTGTAGGCCTATTGGTACTTAAGTAAAGGGATTTGAGTACTTCCACCACTCATATGAATATGTACTCATTTTCAGTTAGTATCTCCTGTATAATGTTCAAACTTTTTTCTATGACATTATTATATCCTAAAAAAAATAGATATCTACTTTAAAGGTCAATTGCACAATATAAAGATGCCCTCCTTCCGTTTGTTTATCAATGTATTTGTATGGGAACTTCTCAAGTCAAGTTGTGGTTTTCTCTGTGTTACCTTTTTGGCCACAGAATAAAAAACAATGCCAAAAGCCTTTTCACACTTTGTTGTCATTGTCATTTTCAGACTATGGCTACTACAATTAGCCTCCTTCCTGAGAAGCACTTCTTGTGCTCTCTGTGTAGAGACATATTCACCAGCCCAGTGACCATACCATGTGGACACAGCTTTTGCTTGTCTTGTCTCTGTCGCTACTGGGCACGACACCAGTCCAAATACTGCCCGCACTGTAAGAGGGTGTTTACTGGCAGGCCTGACCTCAGTGTCAACCGCATTCTGGCAGACCTCTCAGACAAGTACAGGAAGACTCGTCCAGAGAAACCACCTGATGAGGAAATGGTACTTTATTGCATTTGTCAGTTATCTTATCACAGTTGACATTGTCTGATAATCATTTTGCGTATGCCTATGTCACGGTTACAGGTTGTAGATGTTGAGCAAATGATTCAGGAAAGGCTACAGAAGAAAGAAAGGTTAAAATTTTCCCTTGAGCTCCAAAAGGTGCGTTGAAAACCACTATATTATTCAGATCTTTGGTTAAAAAAAGTATATTGCTCAATGATGATGCATGATTATATCCAATCAGAACTCTTACCTCAGAGAGGTGCGAGAGAGCCAGAAGGTCTTCTCTGCCCTCGTAAATGCTATGGAGAAGAGTCACAAAGCGGTCGTTTCAGCAATTGAGGAGAGACAGGGAGAGGAGGAGAGGAGAGTAAAAACTCTGGTGGAAGAGCTTGAACAGGAGATCCATGAGCTGAGGAGGGAGACCACTGAATCTGATCCTCAGATTCCTGTAAACAGTGATCAGAGTGATGACAAGACGCAGGTAAGCAGCTTTACCATATGCAGATAATATAATGGTAATGGAGAAGCTCTGACACTGGCTGCCATCAGTGAAATTCTGTGTTTATGTCATGCAGAACATTTCCACAGTGTGCCCCTCTGAGATGAAGGACTGGTCCAAGGTTACCATAGAAACCGACCCTTGTGTTGGGGTCACCAGACGAGCACTGTCAGACATGATGGAACAGATTAAGGTAGAAGTCAACAGGCTCTCAAAATCTGGTGAGTAATGCAATGAATTACTCACTTAATTCATTATCTTTTATGTATTAATTCAGTTTTCTACAATGAATTCAATGACAGTGACGTTTCTTTTTACCTCTTCTTTGACAGAACTAAAGAGAATAGAGAAATACACAGGTAAGGCTTTGACCACTCAGAAACAAATATAAGGACTGTACACAAATTACACAGGGGGTGTTATGTATTTTTTCTTTCCTTTTTAGCTTTTTGAAAATTTATTTTTTAACATCCAAAATTTGTATTTCAGCATTAAAACAAAAACAAAAGACACAGTTTGATGATATTGTGAAATAGTGTAGGTTCATGGGAGTTGCTGTTGTAGCAAATAGAGGCAAAAAGGAAATGCACCAATAACTTAAGTAATGTTACAGATTTCTCTTGGTTTGAATGGAAACATTTGAGCTCATGTTTGAACACAACTTAACAAAATATATAACATTTTTAGACATTTTAATGTCGAAATGTCACATATTAGTAGGCCTATATCATATTTCAGCCTTTTGTCATGTTTGACATAAACTTGGAAATGGCTAATTCCACCTGTTAATAATAATAATAATAATTAATGTCCATGCCTCTGTAGGGTTAGGAAATTCAAAAAACTGAAATGTAAGATTTTACCCCACTTCCCACTCAAGTAATTTTCTTACAGTCCCTTAGAGCTAAATATCTCCATGCTGTTTGATCTATTCTTGACCTGTTCTCCTCCTTCTTTCTTAGTGGATGTCAATCTGAGTGCCAAGACAGCCCACCCCTTCCTCTTTGTCTCAGACGACAGAAAACAGGTGCGACACACAGACAAGTTTCAGGAGGTGCCAGATAACCCCAAGCGGTTTGACCGCGTGGCAAACGTGCTGGCCAAAGAGAACTTCAGCACTGGGAGGTGCTATTGGGAGGTGGAGGTCGGGGAGAAGATTGAGTGGAACCTGGGTGTTGTCAGACAGTCCATAAACAGGAAGGGCAAGTTCACTGTCTGCCCTGCAAATGGTTTCTGGACTGTAAGCCTGAAGGCTGGAGGCCAGTACATTGCCAACACCTCTCCTGTCACCCCGTTGGCTCTGGAGCAGAGACCCAGGAAGGTGGGCGTGTTTTTGGACTACACAGAAGGCCGCGTGTCCTTCTACTGTGCAGAATCTGGAGTCCACATTCACACCTTCACAGATACATTTACTGACAGGCTTAATCCATTCTTCAGTCCTGGTCGCCTGCATGGTGGCAAAAACGGTGCTCCCCTAATCATCAGTTCTAGTTTCTGCAGCATCTAAAAATCATATTTAATGCAGTATTATTATTAATCTCCAGTATAGATACAGTTGTTGTGCTTTTGATAATCTTTTTAGTATCGATCCAGTGTGTCAAATTTATTTATTTAGTTACCAATCCACATGAAAAACTACAGCGAACCACATTTTCCTTGTCAGAACAGTGAACAAGAGGTTGCATAAGGACTGACTCCCTACACTCGAAAAACTTCAATGAAACCCATAAACAGATTGAAAAGAAAGGAGGAGGGTAGAAGAAAAGATAAAAAGGCTCTCATAAATGAACAAGTGAGTCAAAGTCAAAAAGAGGAGAAAATAGGTTGCTGAGTTGGATGGACGCGGGGGGCTGCAGGGTTGGGACAGAGGTTGACGAGGAGCAGGGAGGGAGGGCACAGCCAAACAGCAGGGCATTGTGCTCGTACACCAGGCACTGGGAGACACACTCAAACACATTCACTCATTCACACAGTGACACGGTGGTGCACACAAGCGCATGCTTCTGCCCACTGCCACACAGACTTGCGCTGGCATCTCAGAGGGCAGCCCCATCTCGAGTCCAGTCCTGGATGTTGAAGCTGATCGACCCTCTCTACTTCAGTTCACCTGACCTCTAAAGATAGAGCCTGCCCTGCTCTCCAGCCTTCCTGTGGACTGAACTGAATTCTCAGGGCCGTCATTCACAAATCGAGGCATCCCAGCTGATCTACACAAGCGTAGGAGCAGTAAGACTTACCTGTGGACCAAGGAGGGCAGTGAGAGTACTTAATTTAAGGTAAATATTACTAATAATATCCTTGATCAGTGCATTAGTGACATTTCCAAAAAAGTCAAACAACTATTTGACTGAAAAACGGCTACATGTGTGTGTGTGTGTGTGTGTGTGTGATGAGTTTGATGGAATATACAAGCTGTTCCCAGTTATTCTTCTATTATATGCTTAGCTTCATTAGAGTTTAATAATTATATTCAAGTAGTCAGTGTTGGAGGCATGTGTATGAAATTGCTCTTGCTTCATAGCAATGTTTGCAATAATTTCCTGTAAAGAAGGCAGAGCCATTAGTTGGACCAAAGATAAGGCACAGATTCCTAAAGTGGGTTCTGGGGGCTTTCAGGGGTCTTTAAGGGACTTCAAAGAAGGGATATTTTATTACTATAAAGTTGTGCCCAGTATTTTGTAACAGTGGGGGAGTGGAGGCTTGTCCTTTGAATATTCTAGTTTTGAGGATTCATATGATCCATTGTTATCTGCCCACTTACAAAAACCTAATCTAATAATAATCCTCTCAGATGGGGGTCTATTGGATGCATGTTTACCTTAAAGTGGTCCAATTGGTAAAGCCTATCCGTTTACATTTGTTTCCATCACTCCTAGCCATGCAGCAACCCATGGATTGATTGTGCAGAAAGGGTTTTGATTCACAGAATTGTAAAATGTGGATACTGAGAGCTGTGATAAGTAGATGACATAGGTCCTCCTGGCCCACTCTACAAGCCTTCATGAAAGATGCTTGTGTTCAGAGTCTCCTCATGTTTTTCTGAGATAATCCACTCACCCGGCAAGGCGTAGCTCAACACCCACAGCTGTGTCAAAGACGGCTATTCTCTGTGGTTCTCATTGGAATCCACTAAACATGGGCCTCCCAGCTTGTTTCCAAATATTTATGATAAATATATGCTCCACTAGTCTTTTCATACTTTACTACTGCTCATTGTTGTAACAGTGTGAAGTGTTTGAATCTGTGTGATGAATTGAAAAGATCATTTGAAATTGGTCATTTTCTGAATTTCAGGAACACCTGTCCTTGCCTAACCCAAGCTGAACTCGACGGCATCATCACACAAAGACTGAAGATCCAGTAGTGGAGCACAATTTTTCCAGTACTGTAGACTGTCACATTTCTTTGTGGGACTATAAGTGGGCCCTCTCCAACAAACAGATACTGAAATAAAACCAAGACAAATCCATTTGATTCAAACAACACCTTTCACCATGGCAACCACAGGCATGCAGTTGCTGGGGCTAATCATGTCCATTGTGGGCTGGGTGAGTGGGGCAATAGTCTGTGCCATGCCCCTGTGGCGAGTCACTGCCTTCATCGGTAACAACATAGTGACCGCTCAGATCATTTGGGAAGGCCTTTGGATGATTTGCATCGTGCAGAGCACAGGTCAGATCCAGTGTAAGGTGTATGACAGCTTGCTGGCTCTGCCCAGTGACATGCAGGCTGCCCGAGGCCTCACCGTGTTCTCCGTCATGATCTGTGGCGTGGCTCTGGCTCTGGGGGTCTTAGGAGTCAAGTGTACTAAGTGCATCGGTGTAAACAGCACCAAGGCCCGTATTGCTCGCATCTCTGGCGCCCTCTTTGCCATTGCAGGGTTCCTCTACCTTGTGCCCGTCTGCTGGACTGCCCACTCCATCATCAGGGATTTCTATGATCCACATGTGGCGGCCCCACACAAGCGTGAGCTTGGCCCTGCTCTTTACATCGGCTGGGGGGCATCATCCTTGCTCCTGATTGGGGGATCTCTGCTCTATGCTGGGTCAAGTCCCCCTGGCATCCCTGGCTCTCCCACCTTCAGCAGTGGAGAAAGTAGTCCTCGCAGGGCACCTGCCACACAAGTCAAAGGTTATGTTTAAGTTTCCAAAATGTCTGAATGCCTTTAAGTCCCACAAATACACCCCAAAAGATGACATACCTGATTCCTCTCCTTTTGATTTTGCTTCTTGTAATTATTTTATATTTAATGTTCTTCCAGTTTGCTTTTTTCTCTGAAAAGCCACAGGAGGCTATTTAGGGAAAATTGAACTCATTTCATTATTTCATACCTGATATCCTTCAATAACCTGTTTTTTCTGTCTTTCAGTGTAAAATACAATAAAATGTCCTCCAAATCCTCTTCTGAGGGAAATGGTGTGTGTTCACGTTTGTGTTTGAGAGAAGTAGTATTGTAGTTTTAAAAAGAAAATCTTTGTTTTACTCATTTATGTAAACACTATAGGGGTTCTGCTGAGTGGAGAAGAACAATAGAACAATGGGGATGTGTGTGTACATTTGCTTGTGGTGCCATATTGTGAGATGTGTGTGTGTGTGTGGTCATCCATCTCCTATCTTCCATCTACTCTGTCTCGGCTACCCGGAACCACAGACAAAGAAAAATACATTATCTTTGTTTCGCAACATAAAAAATCCTGTTATTCCTTCAAATAACGACAAATACGCTCTCGTAGCACAAGTGATCTCAAAGCTCGTTATGGATAATGTTTCCATACTATCACATATCCAAACTGATGAGTATATGATATTAAGAAAAAAACAGATCAACCCTCAGAGGGTGGAAGTCTGTAATGCATGTGTGAGTGCCTATCTGTCAGTGTCTCTGTGTGTAAGTATGTAATGTGGGATGTTACGAGCCACACTGGAAAAAGAATAATCTTTATTCATGAGACATTGTTCAGATCTCTCAGATTATCCTTTACTTTGAAGAAAATGATGATCTACAGAGAGTTTGCAATGACAACAATTCGTTTTTGAGTTTGGTTAATGTACATGTACAAAACATACCCCTGCCATTTGTTTTCTATCGGTTGTAAACAGTAAATCTGATCACGGCTGTGAAGGGGATGTATGGATCCATCAGTTTTGTTTTTCTTTCTGTCCGTAACAGCAGAGGACAGAGCAACACAATGCCACTTTATAGAGCATTACAGCACCACAATAACAATGGGCACCAGTGTTCCAAGTGCCAGGTAGTGACTCATACATGACCTAAGTAGGCCTATACCAATGTTGGTAGAGTAATGCGAATACAGTAAGACAGTCTGTGCTGTTTTACTGTACAATTGTAATGGGGATAACATAGAGTGAGACAAGGGCACTGTTTACGTTGTAAATAATCAGTGAAGTGTCTCAAAATAGCTCTAAAGGTGTGTTACCAACAATACTATACAATTAGTCATACACATTGTAAGTGTACTGATATCATTCACAGTGACGTAAACCATGTAAACCATAAATGACTTGTTTAAGACACACGGTCTGATCTTCACCATTCTGCTGTTCACATAGATCTTAGGTGATCTATTTTCTATACAAGTCTGAATTTAGACATTTTGTCAAGAGGTTGGAAAGCCAGTGGTGGAAGAAGTATCCTGATCCTTTTCTTATTTTTTTTTTTATCAGAATTTAAAAACACCTTACAAGTAAAAGTCCTGTGGCCGAATTACATAAACTTTTTATCTTAAGTCTTACATTAAGATAGCAAGAGTCTACGATAAGAAACAAACTAACTGTAGGAATCCAATCTTACTTTACTTCACCCTATCTAATCTAAGGTAAGGAACTCCTAAATACGCAACCTGACACTGTTTAGCAACTTTCATGTCTGTTACCTAGCAACCATTGCTACTTTTCTCATCTTGCCAAGCTAAACAACTTTGTAACCGTTGTTTTTTCTCATTGAAACATACTGCAACATACAATGAAACATACAAAAAAATGGAACAAAATGATAGTGGGCACTTAACAACACTAACTCAGGAGATAAAAGAGAAAGAAAGGGCTAATTTCAGTTTATCTTCCTGACATTTCATTGGTAGTGTACAAGTAATAAAAGAGAAGTCACATGGATTAAACCAAATAGCTAACACTACCTGGTGGAAAAGTGAAAGTAAGGACAGCTTAACGGTTATCTTAAAGTTAGGAGTTTATTGAAAATTTTGGGATGTTAAGGTTGTTGTGTAATACACTTTTCTTATCTTAAGCTAGGATAGGAATGTTGACTCAGTCCTAACTCTAATTACCATGGTTACCAAACAGGTAGGAAAGGATCTCCAAGTTAGAAAATTTCTCAATTTCCAGCATAATTAGATTACATTGATAACATTCACGCATTTACATGGAAGTAGCATTTTCAAGAGAAACTTAACACCAGTTTGGAAAGCAGGTTCAGTTTTATGCCTGTTTCACCTCTGATGACACTGGTTGGGTGTGGACAGACTCGTGCTTTGTTGCAGCTTTAACCACACCC